AAAAAAATATTTTTTTTGACTTTGACAGGAGTTGAAAAAAAAACCGATTGTAGTATGTTATATAGTAATTTAAAATACTTTTATAATACTTTCACGTGAAACGAAAGCGGCATTCATTATTGAATCTCAAGATGCCTTACTGTTTGAACCTCCTGTTATTACGGATGATGTGTATATTCTTAACTGTGCTGATATGCATCTAGATTTACATCTCTTGAACTCATCTGCAGCAAATGAACTGTGACGTAGTCTAGCCACACTTCATACATTCAATCTGGAAAAACAACAGCTAATCTATACCAATATTCTACATGCTTGGTGCTGCTTCTAGAATCTAGCTAACTAGACCGAATTCTGTGGTGAACGGAATGACACCACCAGGTCCAGCTAAAGAGGAGGATCCCATCAACTCTTCGTCGATCTGCCTGGCTGCCAGACGTCCTTCATTGATAGCATGTACCACAAGAGACTGGCCTCTTCTACAGTCTAGAAAATTCAAAATATTGACTTTCAAGAAATGCTGAAAACCTCCCTCTTATAAACTATTAAGAAGCTACTAGTTTAAATGAAAACTGTAGTTATAAAACTAGTCTAGAGAAAAGTAAGTGTTAAACCTAAAATTACTGTAGTTTAAGCCACACAAGAACTAATATTTAAACATAAAGTGTTATAATTAAAAATCATTCATGAACTAATATTTAAACTGTATTTCATAGATCATTGATGTAGTTAAGTTTTTGAAAACTATACCTATTGTGGGGAATATACAAAGGAATATAAAAACCAAATACTCAAATATATTTAACAAAATATTAAAACGAGGATAATTATTTTACATGCTTTAAGATCACCTGTTAAAGTTATATACACAAGATTTCTTTATAACATTCAGGTTTTTCTATTTATTCAAGGTTTTCTACACATATTTCTGCAACACGAGTCTTGTAAATGTCTCAACGATCTGTTAAAAACAACTTACAAAATAAATTATAGAATCAAAATGGAAAAATGACAAACTAATCACAAATTCTATAGACATCTTTCATTTGAACTATCAGTTCTTTATCGTCTTTCATTTGTGTCTCCAAGGGTTGATTTTCCCTAATTCTAGAAATATATTAAACTATATAAAAGACATAGATTAAACCTAATTTTAAAGAGATATTAGGCTAGATAAAAGAGATTCACCTCCTGCTGCATACACCTTCGGGACTGAAGTGTTATATTTGTTTGATACAGTGGAAATGTTGGAACGGACATCTTTTACCAGAGCAAGCTCTTCGATCAGGTGTTTTTCAGGTCCAAGGAAACCCATGGCCAAAAGAACTAAGTTGGCCTGTTGAAATACATCCTAGCCAATTAGTGGTCTTTACTTCAAACATAACTAATTAGATTGGTTCTTAAATCAATACCTAACCAATTAGACTGGTTCTTAAATCAAATTTAACCAATTAGGCCAGTCTTTACGTCCAAAACCTAAGCATTTATTTTGGTCTTTACATCAAAACCTTACCAAATAGAATGGTTCTTATATCAAAATCTAATCAATTAGAATGGTTCTTAACAATATTTTCGACCATAAACCCAATAATTACATACAAGGTTCGACCAGCCTGGAAACTGAAGTTAATCCTATGTACATATAATAAGCTAATAAAGCAGAATAATTATAATAATAATAAAATAAAAAAAATTAAATTAGAAAAAAAAAGATATATTTCATATTATAACCCACAATGTAATAAAAGTTCCTCTTGTTTAAACTGATAGCAAAGTGTAAACTACCATACTGTGGTAAAAGTTATATTTGTCATGGCCAGCTTAGTAGATTTAGATTAGTCCTAAATCCATAAACTAAGCTAACAGTGTGAAATAATCTTAATTTGTTTGTTTGTTTGTTTTCAGTTATGCACAAAGCTACACAAGGGGTATCTGTGCTCTGCGCGCCACGGGTATCGAAACCCGGTTTCTAGAGTTGTAAGTCCGCAGAGATACCGCTGTGCCACTGGGGGGCGATAATCTTTATAATAAACGTTATCAAAAATCAACATTAGTGCTATATAAGATAAGAATTATACTAAAGAAATAAACAGAGAAACATAAAAAGAAATAATAAACAGTAGATACATTAAACAATCAAAAATATATACAAATATGTAAATATTTAATTTTGTATACAAATAAAAGAAACTTAAAACCAAACATATGTAATGCATTAAAATGACGTTTAATACTAAATACATTATTCTAACTACAGCAGTATGCCTATAATCTATTTACTGGAGTTATACCCTAGGCAGTTTCACACTTTCAAACAATGAGTGAACACAGTTATTCACTAGGTAGTTTCACACTTTCAAACAATGAGTGAAAACCATACATATGTAATGCATTAAAATGACGTTTAATACTAAATACATTATTCTAACTACAGCAGTATGCCTATAAGCTATTTACTGGAGTTATACCCTAGGCAGTTTCACACTTTCAAACATTACAACACTGGAGTTGTATACTAAGTAACACACACACTTGGAAACAATAAAATAGAATTCGTCACAAACTCAATTGTGTAGCAACAGTAGAATAATTATTGTCAAAGTAAAACAACGACGTTTCAGATTATTTTTCCTACACTACACACGTGCATTTGACATTCTTTCTAAATTTGGCAAGTTTAAGTATGATAACTGTATAGACACCCGAGATTGGTTCATTCTAGTTCATGTTATGAAAATATTCGAAACCCACCTTAAAATCTCTGCTAGAATTTGGTAGTTCTTGCATTGACCATCGGCCAGTTGCATCTTTTGTCCATTTCACATTTACAGTTCTAATACCTGCTACGTGACCTTGGCCATCATCAAGGAATTCCTGGTCAGTTAAGTAAAAATTTCAGATTCCATTAATAATTTCACAATAATATTCTCATAAAAATGAAACTACAACACAAGAAACCCAAAAAACCTTCTTTTGTGTTACGTTGTTCACAGAACCTTAATTTTAAAATTCCTAAATATGATTTTACATCATGAATTTAGGTTACCATTACTTCATTACTGGAACCACTACACGAAGAACTGGTAAAGAAAGGAAGAAGAACTAACTAGTTTCAAAGGAATCTCTACCTTGCTAAGTATACAGAAGTTTCTTGGATCTTGTCCATACTTCAGTCTCACTTCTTCATGACCATAGTCCACTCTGAAGACCTTAGGCCACTGTGGCCAGGGGTTGGAGGAATCTCGTGAGGGAGGTGGTTGTGGAAGAATTTCAAATGTAACCACACTACTTGCTCCCTAGAAATCATGGAAATGGATAATAGAAAACAAAACTAAAACCTCATCATTATGCTGACACATAGTTGTGTTAACTCTAGCTTTGTATGAATACACTGCTGTATTGCTGTCACAATTAAAAGGTTTATAGTTAACTAGATTTGTGTCTGAGGGATTACAAGACAGTGGTTAGCAATGGTTCTCAGCACCCGAAGGCAAAGACACTTTTAGCGCCCCCATCTCTGAACCCACTTAATGACAATAACATAAAGAATTAATTACCACCTTACACAGGCCAAAAATAAAGTCACAATATAACATCTCACGATATCACAACTGTAAACCTGGAACTAATGAAGTATAGCCTACTAGGTGTACTTACATAATTTGTAAATTATGTGAGAAGCCAGTCACTTGTGATGTACATGGATTATAAAACAGATTGATAAAATACTACTTAAGTTTACAAATAACAAATTTTATTAGC